AGCATAGTGCTCTTAAGAGTTAAACTTTTGCCATAACCTATTGCTATCATTTTTATATGGTGCTAGATGACGATCTAAAGCCGTGTTTCCACCGCAGGAACATTCCCCAGGAACTAGGAACTTTGGGGTGGTACTCGTTGCAGGAACATGCTGATTGGTTCTTACGACTTGTTCATTCTGCCCGTTGGCACGCGTTCGTCCAATCCATCTCACGGTCAATGTTGTCTGCTGATAACAAACGTCTACTTTTATATCTAACATTACGAGCTTTCTGAATATGCTTTGGGTGCTCGTCTCCATAGATATCTATATAAAGGCTAGATATGTCGTCCACGCTGCTGGCCAATGGAGGTTGACGTCTGCACCATCTTGTCACAGGCAGCTCGCTCACTCGTAACATTGTGTTAATGGTACATGTACTATTTAAATGACCATAACTTGCAAAATTTTCTACTGATTTTCAAACGGTTTGTTTTGTTATAAACGTCAGAGATGTAGTTATGACACTGCATACTTATGAATACAAAGTGTATAAATAAATAATCATCCAGATAATTATTGCCACGTTAATAACGTTTGTAAGAAACCAAACCGTTTGTAAATCCGTCAAGATTTCAACGAGATAAGAGTATTTGTGTTCGTGCTGACCACTCATCTTACATCAGCTTGTCTGTGACAAGATGGCCGCCGGTGATGACGATGGAAACTCTGCCGTAACACATCTAGCCTTTATATACATATCTATGCTCGTCTCTATTCTGCCATTTTGTTAATTACCTCGTTAGTAAACCAATCGCACACAAAAACAGCAAAGCTTGAATCTTCTCCATACGGGAGGAGCAGTCGCACGCAGTTCGACAACATCACTACATAATCTTCCCGCCCCGGACCGGTACTTTAGTCCGCGGTGTTAATAAACAATTAAATATCCAATACGGATACATATCCCAATTCCCAAAGATTTCCCAATCAAGCTTGAAGCATAATGCTCATGTTTTTGCACGTGTTCAAGGTCAGTCCCAGCCACTGCTACAGGCAGCATTGCCTTACTGAACCACAGCAAAGAGTCATTATGAGATTGTTTATTCTTTGTGATGTTATTGTACAGCCACACCTTGCTGTCTGCTCAGCCAGGTGTGTCAGTGTTGAAACATCAGGTGGTGTTGACGCACGCACATAGAGTAGCATTTACGAGAAGAGCGGATGGCACTGGGAACTCCAGTGCAATATTTTGCCGCAGACTGAATTACTCGACTTGGGTCGGGTTCATATCTAAGGGGTTGGTCCAGATAAGACCATCTGTTATCACAGCTAGCCATTGCAGCATGTGTGTGTTTCATATAGGTATTTGCAACCAGGCTTGGTGTTTGTAAACTTCTACCAAACAGAACCATCTGGTTTTGTCTTCAAAACAGTAAAACAGTGATGTGTATTGTCTTCCAAGTCCAAGAGTCTGAGACTTCCGGTGAAAGGAAGAAGCGAAGAAAATGGCTTTTGTCTGTGAGAGAATTTCCCCCTCAGAAGACGATGACTGATGTCATAAAGGAAACGCCACGGCAACAACAGTAGCAGTTGAATTGAATGAGACCCCTGCGCTCTCCTTCCTTCTAAATTGATATAATGACGTTGTGCTTGAGTGTTTTTGGGCTGAGAGGAGCTCACTCGAGAAGCCTGTGAGAATTTAGTATCTGTCTTTAATGGAGCGCAGCTCCCTCTGAGAGGTGAGGGGGGAGGTGCCAGCAGCCAGTTCTCCAAGTCAAATATTGATTGGTTGCCTAGCAACTGATTCCCAGGGAGTCCTAGAGGGACAAGCCCGATTGCAGTCATGACAACATTGTCTACCCAGGAAGTAAAAAATAACTTCCTGATGGTGTCACACAGCAGGTTTTTGTATCTAAAAGTTTATCAGTGTACCATGTAGACTTGCTGTCAGCCAGCGGCTATATTAAATTAAGAACGGTAGTCTGGTACATGTTATTGTTTAACTGAATAATTTATGGTTTGTTGTCAAGGCAACACATAGTGCTGATTTAATTTTCTTATCTTTATAGCCAACATATTGAGCAGTTTGAAATTAAACGGGCATACCTCATTTAGTGTTTGAGTACCATGTTTTTCTAAAAACTGACTAAAAAGCTATTCCGTAGACCATCCGAGTTCTCCAGAATCTGAAAGCATGTTTAAAAGCCTGAATATGTACTTGAAATTAATTAGAATTGGTCATCATTGACTTGCGGTTCATATTGATGACCATGCCTGTCAAGCGGCAAAGAGATGATACAAAAAAAAAAATTGGAATCTGAAAATAGAAGTCAATTTGTAAATTGAACACTACTTACCATTAATGTGACTTCTGATAATGCATGGTTTTGGTGAGTGCTTTATAATTATATATTAGTATTTATACTTTATATTAGATTTTTTTTATTTAATGAGAGGCAATTCTGTTGCAAATGAGAGATCGCTCCACAAATGCAAATTCATCAGACAGCAATGAACGATACTAGTACTTTTAGATACTTTTTTTCATCTTTGAAATGATTAAACTGCAAAAAGATGATGATGTCGTTTTTTTTTCATTATTTACGTTAAAAAAATGGTAAAACCATAAGAAGCTTCCGTCAAAAGCTAAACCATGACATTTTTTCACACTGTATTGTAGCAGAGGTTGCACAGACCATTTATTCGTCCAACATGATCGCAAACAATATGCTCAAGAATTATGTTTGAATTATTATACATGTTATCACATATTTTGTAGATTTATTAGCAGCAAATCGCACACGCAGCCTCATGAAGGAATAAAGACTGGCTGTATGACATTTAGAATTTCACAATAAACCTCACTAAACTCTTATATACATGTTGACCACTTGTCGGATCATTAGTACTTTTTTGCTCCCAGAAAGAGTGCGTGTGCATGGTTGCCAGATTAAGGGAAACACTGGGCTGAAAATGAGTCATTTTAAGAGAAAAGCTCTATTTGGTGGATTTATTCTCTGGGCATCTGGCAACCCAAACAGGAAAGTTAACAATGTAAGATAATGTAAATGTCTTAAGACGTTATCAGGTTAATTAATCAGCAGGGGAAATATTGTGACAATTATTCGTTACAACGATTAATCGTGCAGCCCTAATACAAGTAAAATAAGATGCACGTTTTACTTTTAACTTGACTGACTGGATAACTATGAACTTTTGGATGGCAAAAGCTGCATAACAATTCTTAAATGAAATGTATGAAATGGAAAATAATAATGGTATATGTGTTTTAAACAACATGAGGGTGAATAATGAAATAATTTTTATATTTGAAAGACTTTAAGAATGAATTAAAAATGACTTGGAGTCCCTTCTTCTTCTCATCCTTGACCATCTGTTCTGCCTCTCCCCAAAACGCATTCCACCACCTCTCACATGATCACACAGACTAATGTAGAATCATGTGATTTTTGTCCCTGAGGACAAAATTGATGACTATTGGTCTCAATGGCCACTGTATAATCTGAACAACATTGCGTGAACAAGACTTTTTTTTAAGGTGGCATGAATGTTTAGGTAACTGAATGTATGAATTGTAATTCATGATGTTAATACTTATATAAATATTTATATTTATTTTGGTCATACAACGACAATTTTCAGTTTCTACTTCAAACCAGTTCTATCACCTTCTGTTTGCCAGCAAGACAGCAGTCAATAGAGAACTGAATGCAACATTCACTGCGCATTTTAATGCTGTGTAATTGGACACTGGACAGAGTACAAAGGACTGCATAAGTCGATCGATAAGTGTTAATATACGCTTATCATATGACCTACTTTTGGGAGTAATTTCTGTTTACATCTCAGGTCCATGATCTCCTCTTCATCCAGACCTCTCTGTGGCACTGCAGTCAGTCAGCTGACTAAGTGATCATGCGCTTTATAATATGACATGGAATGTGGGCACACCGTCCCCTAGGAAAACCAACCTTTACACCATCCTCTCCATAATAGAAGTGTTTTGATCGTCACGTTGTCATTTGCTGATTTAAGTACAAATGTTCCTTCTAGTTTCAGAATTGAAACTGATTTACTTGGATTCCTTGAAATAATTTGTTCTCATGGCTTGGACTAGGAATTGGCTAATTGTTCACGATCATGCAGTGATTACCATCATCAAGCTCACTTTTCAGCATACTCTTGAATGCATATTGTATTGAATTGCATATATATGACTGGTCATCATGTTTGAGCATACGCAACTCTCATTGAACAAAGTTTACAAAGAGTTTTTTTTTTAAATCATCCCTGTTGGAATATAAACCAGCATGTGTATCCATCGTCATAAAATACATAGTGGAACAGTCTGTTTATTTAAAAAACATTATAGAAGAAAAACACAGAAAAACTATGACTTTATTAAACATTGTGTTCCCTTTCGGTTCTGCGTTAACGAGTCCGCGGTGACGCTGGTGATGTGTTCTCTGGCTACATGGACTACTTTGTCTTTATTTCCTTTCTGGACAAGGACAGTATACCGTACACATTTTCAATGGAGGGACAGAAAACTCTCGGACTGAATCTAAAATATCTTAAACTGTGTTCCAAAGATGAACGGAGATCTTACGGGCTTGGGACGACAGAAGGATGAGTCATTAATGACATCATTTTCATTTTTGGGTGAACTAACCCTTGGTGAAATGTAATGGAATAGAGACTGATGACTTTAATGACTTAAATGTTTAAATTGTTCTAGGTTCTGCTCTTAAATTTTGGCTCACGCCTATGCTTTTTTGTAAAAGGATAAGTTGGGCATGTTAATTGAAGTTGCGTAACGATTATGAACAGTCTTTTGAAAAATTTGGTCATTCACATCCCAGTTTGTCTGGTTCTAAAAGTGGGTTAAACAGCCTGTGCTCTTGAGTCATGATAAGTGTGTTCTGGCCTCAGCATCATCAGTGTTGGTGTGTATGTGCGTCTGTATTTGAACTCATCATTTGAATGTCATGTTTTAGGTACGGGATCAGGCCAGAGCATGTGATCATTTACGGCCAGAGCATCGGTACAGTTCCTTCGGTGGATCTGGCCTCTCGGTACGAGAGCGCTGCCGTCGTCCTTCACTCCCCTCTCACCTCAGGCATGCGGGTGGCTTTTCCTGACACAAAGAAAACGTACTGCTTCGATGCATTCCCCAAGTGAGTCTCTCTATTTTACCTTAGACTCGCCATCTTTTCATAATTTTTCCAACACCCCAATTAGACACATACTGTTCATTCGCTGTTCACGCCTTTCTTTCAGCAGCCATGTTGTGGACGAGGCACCTGGTTGGTTCATCCGTTTTCTGCACTTTAAACATTACTGTTATTGTGTGCCCTCTAGTGACACACATCTTCAAGTAGTTCAGTGTTTTTGTGCACTTTTTAAAAACAACCGTTATAATGGATAAACAGTCTGATTTCAGTGGAAATTTATATTTTCATGCTTGATTTAAAAAATGTATTTTAATTTTTATGTAAAAATTTATAAATAGAATTAAATATATGTTTAAACACACACACACACACATATATATATATATATATATATAGGACAATTCAAAGGTTTTGGGTCAGTAAGAGATTCTTCTTTTAAAGAAATTAATACTTTTATTCAGAAAGGGCACATTAAATTGATAAAAATGACTTCTATCACGATTTCCACAAAAATATTTAGCAGCATAACAGTTTTCAAATCTAATGATAAGAAATGTTTTTTGAGTACCAAATCCGCATATTAGAATGATTTTTTTTATTTTTTACGGATCATGTGACATTGGAGACTGGAGCAATGGCTGTTAAAAATTCAGCTTTGCCATCACATAAATCAAATACTTTTAAAATATTCTTGATCTTTAATATATTTTACTGTTAATAGTATATATTATTATTCGGACTGTCAGTCCAAATCCATTTTTTGTGGATATCCGAACAAGCATGAACGCCAAAAAATCTTTTTGTTCTGAGCTACATATATGTGTGGTTCGCATTTCTAGAAATCTGTTTCAGTCTGACCGCTCTGGGGTGAGTTTCCCGAAAGCATCTTTAGCCAACTATGGTCGCAAGTTCCGTCGTTACCAATAGACTTCAACGGAAATTGCGACCAACTTGCGACTATAGTTGGCTAACGATGCTTTCGGGAAACGCATCCCTGATCGGATTTTCCGTGGATTATGTCACTTTCTCACGCTACGTAAAGAAGAAACATGCTGAAAGTCACTGCAGAAACAAGGTTGTGTTTCAAAGTTCCAGTCAAACAGAACATTTTATGGAGACCTCCTTGAATTTTTGATACCAGAAAAGAGACCAGCCTTGCTATACACGGTGTGGATAGTCGATAATTTAGATCGGATTCAAATCGGATCCACAAATAATCAGTGTGTGAACATAGCCTAATTTAGGAATACATTTCAGCCTGATGCTTATGAAGGTTAAACAATTTTTTTTTTTTTTGTTTTAGAAAGACAAAGAATCTACATTTAAGTTAATGCGGGCAGTTTTATTACTTTTTTTTTTTTTTAAGGAAAATGGTTCTTTAGATGGCAGTAGAAAATACTGGACATCCAAAGCAGCACTTTTATACCTCAAAATCAGTTTTTAGGTTTGTTTTTGTTGTTCGTCTCATGTACAAATTACTTCACCAAGCACATTATTATGATTTAAAAGACACTGTATTGCAGAACACTCTGCTCATATGATTTGTTTGTTTTCTGTTTCTTTAGCATTGATAAAATCTCTAAAGTCACGTCTCCGGTACTGGTGATCCACGGGACGGAGGACGAGGTGATAGATTTTTCCCATGGGCTGGCCTTGTACGAGCGCTGCCAGCGGCCCGTGGAGCCGCTCTGGGTGGAGGGTGCGGGACACAACGACGTAGAGCTGTATGGACAGTACCTAGAGCGCTTGAAACAGTTTGTGGCTCATGAACTTGTAAACTTATAAATGGACCTCAAGATTAGGACTCACCTTGCCCAGATGGGAGCTGTGAACATTACTGGAGGGGGGAGGTTTTCTCACCATTTTTTTTTTTTTTGTTTTATTTTGGTTATTTACTTAAGGTGCAGTTCTCCACGCTATATAGAAAATGGGGAGCAGTGTCCTTGCTGCCTTTCTTAGGGGTGTGTTCGTTCGTGTAAATGTACTTCTACAGGTGTGAGCGAGGGGTCTGATGTTTTGGAGACCCGACTGTAAATGTGTCTTGATGCCATGTTGTAAAGAATCAAACCCATTCCATTTAAATCAAGTTTTTGTTTTGCTGTATGCATGTTATAATATCATGTAATGGAGTACTGTACAAACGCAGCATTCTGACATAAACAATTGCCATACAGGGGATGCCAAATACTCAGAATATTAAACTTTGATACATTACTTTGTATATACATGTTTCAAAAAAATCTCTGCTTAAGTACGTGTTCTCACACTCGTCTATGTTTCATTTGTCTTAGACCTTGAAAGCAATGCTGGACAATATGACAGTAATATGTTTTAACTGTCAAATAAAAAAATAGATTTTTCAAATAAATAAACACTTGAATATTGTGGCTTGCAATAGCCCAAATCAAACACATATTGTGCTTAAACTGTGCATATGCCAATATGCTTTTTCATATTAGTAACAGACTTTTTTTAAATGAAAATAATATGTTTGATTACACATAAAGAACTTAAGACTTGATTGCATTGAATTGTCTTTTATTCAAAAAGTCTTGTCTCAGAAGAAACCCATATAAAGAAATGCACACTTTTTGTTTTGTTGTTATTGCTTTCAGCCATGATAAGGCTGTTATTCTGGACCGGTGCTGAATTTACACAGCAACATTTCGTTTCTCTTTGGGGGGCTATATGGATATTGAACAATGATCTTCTCTAATGTAAAAGAGGACTGTCAGCCTGTTCCACTTTGAGAAGAATTTTCATTTGGATGGAGTTTTTATTTTTTTATTTCCTGATAGAATGGCTATTATAAAAACTGGTGATAATGCTGTTATTACCCACGAAAATTGATTTATTATATCACAAATGTCACAGAAGAGATTTTTACTGGTCAGACTGAAGTACATAGTGACATGCTTCAATCTTCCCAGACATGTTGTTTTTGTTCATGTAAACATCCATTGTAAGAAGAAGATTGCTATACTGTATGTAATTATGATCTTGAAATAGCTATAATACAAAATGAAAATAAATTGGAAATAAACATGTATTTCAGATAGTAGAGAACTAAAAGTATTAAAAGCCTTGTCCTAACTGATTTTTCATGTGTGCTGATCTGCAACATGCTGCTGTTAGGTGTTGTATTTTAAAGCGACCTCTTGTGGTTAGTAATCATAAATCATAATAAATCATATTCCCCCCATAATTACGTAAGGATTAGTCATTAACGTATACTCTGTAAAGTCAGATTTTCACTTGGCATAAGATATTTCTATGGTACAGTACCTGATTTTTATCTAATTTGCAATTTGATAAAGCTGTAAGGTGTTAGTAAATCTTCTTTCTCATTTTTCTGAGAAGCAGGCGTTTAACCCAACCGCTCAGTTTAATTGCTTTTAACAATGATCCTAACCTTTCATGTGTATTCACGTTACACAACCATTTTACTGCACAGAGGTCAACCGAGCCTCCAGGGTTCAGTGACCTTTGAAGCTGGGGGCCTTGAATATGGAAGTTAAGAACACATGTGACCCATTAATTTTAGGGAGGGACAATGTTCATGGGCACTTAAATAGGTTCAAAGGATGAGAACGATAAAGAGGTGTCTCTATGTAGAGACTGTTGAACATTACACACTGACTGTAATGTTTTAATTATTAGGCAAAGTGAAACTTTTTATAAAAGGCCACAGAATAATTTAAGGTTATTGATTAAATAGTTATGGGAGAATTAGGTAGGACCTTTGTTCCTTAGCAATGTTTATCTTAGCTCTCTCTCTCTCTCTCTCTCTCTCTCTCTCTCTCTCTCTCTCTCTCTCTCTCTCTCTCAATTCAATTCAATTCAGAAAGCTTTATTGGCATGACAAAAAATACATTTTGTATTGCCAAAGCGTCAAAACAACATAGAAAATGATTTGGAACATTTAGTACACAAAATATTAAAACTGATATCATAAAACAATAATAATAAAATGAACAGATTAATAAATAAAATAAAATGGATTTAGAAATCATCTATATATATATATATATATATATATATATACATAAAAAGAAAAATATTGAACATTATATACATGTGTGTAGGTCTTAGGCTGTGAGTGAGTGCGTGTTTAGTGTATGTTTGCTGGTTTCTGGTCGTCCCTCAGGATGTGGCAGGATGCTACAAATTTTGCAGCTATATTTGAGCATTTGGCTTCTTCGCCAAGAATGAAACAAAGTTTTTGGGTCGGATTACAGGTGTTAAATTGGGGAAATATATTATTAATTTTGGGGTAATAATGGTCTCTGATGTGTTTATATTTTGGGCATTCTGTGAGGAAGTGCTCTCTCTCTCTCTCTCTCTCTCTCTCTCTCTCTCTCTCTCTCAATTCAATTCAAAGGGGCTTTATTGGCATGAAAGTTTTTCAAACAATGTTGCCAAAGCATATAACATAGGCTATACAAATACTCTATACACATATATATACATATACATACACACACATATACATACACACATACATACACATATACACACACATATACATACATATATGTATCTCTCTCTCTCTCTCTCTCTCTCTCTCTCTCTCTCTCTCTCTCTCTCTCTCTCTCTCTCTTGCGTGTCATGCGCACACACAGATAATTAGTTGTCTTCCTCAAGGGGTCGCATTGGGGCTCAGGAAGTAGAGTTCTCCGTTGAGTCACATTCAAAATATCAGTACGAGTTTAATCATACTGGAGACATTTGTATAATATAAAGTGTAATATTTAAATGTATTACTTTCAACGACTTTTGCCCATCAAGCTCTACTAAATGATATTTAAAAATGTGTAAATTCTGCGTTGAGAAAATAAGTGAAGTATGTCTCGTTTCCTCAAGCCGATTCTTTTGAGTGAATCATTTCAAAGAACCGTTTAAAAAACGATTTAGATATCACTCTTTACATTGACTCTTTACATCAGAAGACGTAATAACACGTGGTTGCTTACACACACACACACACACACACACACACACACACACACACACACACACACACACACACACACACATGTGGAAACAAGGAGCTGGCTTAAGTTCAGGAAGTAGTGCAGCTGTGCATAAAGCCCATTGAGCTAATGCCTTTATTATTCAGTGTGGGTGTCATATGAGCATCAGTTGCATTTTTAGTTAGTATTGTGCATCTATGGTATTGTGGGTACATGCACTGATCACCCTCCAAAATTAGTATGTTCTTGGTAATCTGAATGACAAAAATATTAAAGATTGAAAAAAAAAAAAAAAAATCCAAAATTTGAAACAATCCCATCCCATGCACTGCAGTGAAAAGAGGAACTAAAACATAGCATAAGTTATTATAACAAGTTCTTAAAACTATATAGTAATGCTTGTGTCTGTAACAGGGATGACAAAAATATGAAAACATGAGGTAGATAAATAATAGAAAAGTTGAAAAGGCACTGATTTTGTGGAATGACCCATAGGTATATACAAAAAGTATATACAAAGAGTATAATATAAAGTACATATAAAGAGTATATACAATATTGTTAACCAAAATCCACTGCATAATCCAAAGAAAAATACAGATATTTCATAGTTTTAAAATCAAAGTTATTACAAAGCTTTTTTTATTACAAATAATTTCAGGCTTAACCAAACATAAAGGTAATAATCTGCATAAAAAGTGCTTTTTTAGTGCTTTACAAAAGGTGCACACATAACCTAGTTAATCAGCGTGGCATGCTTCTTCATCTAAAACAGCCCGTTAAAGTTATGGTGGGCATATATTTTACGATTCAGAATTAACAATACCTTTGCTTATTTTCATTTAGTTTATTTTATTTCAACACAGGCACTCCGACCGAGTCAGTTCCTGACCAGTTTGTCAACCGGTTCATTTAAAAGATCCGACTCATAAGAATGATTCGATCACGAGAAAACTAGCCTACCCTTTGTGTTTCGCCGTCAGCTGACTGTATGCGGACCGTCTATGATGCGGACCATAATAAGTTTGATATGAAAAATAATTCATAGTTTCAAATACAATTTAACTGAAGAGAACGTGTTGGCTCATCCTATGTAAATAACCCCCGCCCATTTGAGAACCCTTTTCATGCTCATGGCTCTTCCAACAAGTTCATTCTCTTTCTAACATCGCTCCCTCATCCACGCCTCTATTTCACTTCCTCCGCGAGCCGCGCCTGGGACGGGGCTGGCTGACTTCAGCCCAGGAGATAAAACATCATGTAAAAGAAGATTAAAACACATTTATTGCGAACTCCCTGTCAAATAGCCCCTCAAGTTGCGTACGGTTCCGTACGGAGCGGACGAGCCAAGCAAGTGACAGTGAAAAGAGACCGAAAGGTAAGATATCTCCTCCTCTGTCTCATTGTATGGAGACCCCCAGTTTAGACCTCTACTGTCTTTCTATGGATTTTCGGTCGTGTATTGTGCGTTTACGGCGTCTGTTGGTAGATGACTGAAGGAGGAATGAAGTAACGCATGCAATGCATCTGAAGTTGAAACTTTTTGGCGTGGTGTAAACTTTAGAAGAGGGCGCGTGTAAGTTAGTGGTTTTGGTGCCAACCAACCTCTGTTGAAACAAAGATGGACAACAATTGTTTTATAGTATAAGCCGTTCAAATTGTTGAATTTGAATGTAGCTATGTTAATAATAATAATAATAATAATAATAATAATAATAATATACATTTTTCCTGTTATATTCCTGTTTTTAAAATGATCATGCCAAAGCTTGTTTGTCGGTCTTAGCTGATATCCCAAGTCAGACTTGATTTAATGGGTTTTGGCCACTTGTCAGGATGGGAGACCATTTGACTGACCATCTAAACCAGCAAAAGACTAGCTTGGTCAGGCTGGGGTACCATTATAGGCTCTATTTTTTAGCTGTTTTTTGCATGCATTTGCAGTTATTTGTTAGCGTTATATTTCTTTATAATTTTCCTAGTGGACTACACAATCTGGATGAGCCTGCAAGTTTCTTTCTATACCATGCCGTTGTCCATTCAGACTGTTGACATTCATTGCTCACCCCCCTTTAAAATGTTATTTGATTTGTGCAGGGGTGCAAAACTACTTGAAAATCGGGGGATGGGACACATTTAAGCACTGGGTATTGATCCCACAAGAAGGGGGGTGGTGCATGGATGCCTCTGCATTTATGGATGAGGGGCTGCAGATGGTCAGATCAGGATCTGGTGATAGTACATACTATATGTTGATCAAAGCAAAGATAAAATTGGTATAAGCTACAGTTCTATAGATGTTGTGGTCGGGTTGGCTGTTCTATTCCCCCCTTAAATGTTGAAAAGATCAGAAAAAGTTGTGATTGATTTTTGCCTCTATGATTTTTGCCCTGGAGAGTCTAACTTGAGTTTATAAAAGCATTACTAAGAAGCCAAATTGTTTAGACACTCTGTTTAGAGCTTTTAAGTCGCTTTGGATGATAATAAAGGAATTTGGCTGATGTGGTTATTGGTAAGCAAATATTTGTGTGACAGGGTTTTTAGGGAGAATTTCTTTATAGGTCCAATATCTGTTGTTTTGTGGCATGAAGGGGCCACGGGCTGAACGACTGAGTAGTTTTTTTTTCCATGTAATTGGTGCCATGTGTTTTGTAAATAACTTGAAAATGTGAAAACCCACAGAAAGCTTGCACTTCAAAGCACGCTGTAGTGCCACTATGAAATTGAGACCCGATCGAGATTAAGGTGATGGAACAGTTTTATGCCAGTTTGATTGGCTCACAGAACTGTGAGTGTAATGCATCATGCCAAAAGTGTGGTGTAGTTTTGTCATTATCATTTGAGTTAAAGGAGTAGTTTACTTAAAAAAAAAAAACTTTGCTGATAATTTACTCACCCCACTGTCATCCAAGATATCCATATCATTCTTTCTTCAGTCAAAAAGAAATTAAGTTTTTGAAGAAATGAAGGTTTTTGATGAAAACATTCCAGGATTTTTCTCCATATAATGCACTTTGCTGGTAACCAAACAGTTCAAGGTCCAAAAGACAATTTCAGTGCAAAGTGTTCAAAGGGCTCTAAACGATTCCAGACGATGAGTAAGGGTCTTATCAAGCGAAACGATAGAAAAAAAAAATCAAAGTTCAAGTTTTATAAGCTCAAATGGTCGCTTTGCTCTGTTCTGCGATGTGCGTTCGTGACTCTCCTGTTCAAACTCGTTTATCAAAATGAACAAATCTTTTTTCGTTTCATTTGGTTCATTCAACGAACGAAATGAACAAAAATAGATTCTTTCATTTTGATGAACAAGTTGGAACAGGAGAGTCCCGAATGAGCATCACAGAACAGAGCAAGGTGACCATTTGAGCTTATAAAACTTAAACTTTGTTATTTATTTATTAATTGAGTGATCGTTTCGCTTGATAAGACCCTTATTCATCGTCTGGAATCGTTTAAAGCCCTTGAACAGTTTGTAGTTTGCACTGAAACTGTCTTTTGGACGTTGAACCGTTTGGTTACCAGTAAAGTCCATTATATGGAGAAAAATCCTGGAATGTTTTCATCAAAAACCTTAGTTTCTTTTCGCCTGAAGAAAGTAAGACATGGACATCTTGACTTTGATGACACGGGGGTGAGTAAATTATCAGCAAAAGGTTTTTTAAAAGTGAACTTTTCGAAGAGTTTGGGTTAATTGGGGGCAATGTGTACTTTTACTCCGCAAAGATTTATTAAATTGATCAAAAGTGTAAATAAAGACATTTAATAATGTTACAAAAACTATTTTTATATACATTCTGTTATTTTGAACGTTATCAAAGAATCCTGAAGAAGAGTATCTTGGTTTCCACAAAATATTTAAATAGCACAATTGTAAAACATTAACAATAAGAAAAAAAAATTTTATTTTTGAAGGATCATGTGACACTGAAGACTGGAGTAATGATGCTGAAAATTCGGCGTTGCCATCACAGTACTAATTACATTTTAAAATGTATTAATAATACAGGGTTAAAACAGGTAAAGCATTTAAAGCCTTTAAATTGTAGTGGTGAGCGTGATCGACTCTTGCTTTGAAACAGTCTTAAAAAAGTCTTACCTCAAACGTTTGAACCCTGATGCATCTTTTATGGTTTTTCTTTTCTTCTCGTAGGACGTGGCAGACAGTTATACCATGCAGGTTAATGATGGCCCCAGCAGTCACCCCATTTTTGTGGCTCCTGTCAACGGAAATGCTCAGCGGTCATCAGGATATGTTCCAGGCAAGATTGTTCCAGTTCGTTCTCCACCTCCAGCCAAGGCTCCTCCACCGCCCCCACTGAAGCCCCCTGCCCCGCTCCCTGCACGGCCTCCAGTTTTTAATCTGACTGTAGATGAGAGTCGAAGGGAGCGTTCCCAGAACCAGCAGAGGAAGAACACTTATATCTGTGTTGGCTTCTTCTTCTGTGTCTTCCTACTGATTCTCATAATCATCCTCAGCCTTACATCTAAAGATGATTTTGATGGTAAGATAAAAACACCTTGTGTGTGTGCTTTAAGGAGGTAGTTCAGCCAAAAATGAAAATGATCATCTACTCACCCTCAAGTTGTTCCAAACCTGAATGGATTTCTTTCTTCTGCTAAACACACAAAACAAGATATTTTGAAGAATGTTTGCAACCAAATAGTTAAAGGGCACCATTCACTTCCATAGTATTTTGTTTTTCTCCATACTATGGAAGTCAATGGGGCCCATCAACTGTTACCCATATTCTTAAAAAAGCAGGATTTGAAATTGAGGGTGAGTAAATGATGACAGAATTTAAATTTTTGGGTAAACTATTCCTTTAATACACCACCTTTCAAAGGTCTGGGGTCAGTACGTTTTAAAAGTAGTCTCCTTTAATGCTTTAATGAAAATATTCTATTTTAATATATTTTTAAATGTCATTTATTACTATGATGGCAAAGTTAGATTTTAGCATCATTACTCCAGTCTTCAGTGTCACATGATCCTTCAGAAATCATTCAATGCTGATTTGGTGCGGTAATCTATGCGCAAGTTAATGTGTGGGTGCTTAAAGGGTTAGTTCACCCAAAAATGAAAATTCTGTCAGTATTTACTCACCCTCATGTTGTTCCAACCCCGTAAGACCTTCGTTCATCTTATTCGGAACACAAATTAAGATATTTAAGATATTAAGATCGCTCCTGCATACAGTCCATAGGCTTCTTGAGGGACTGGCTCTTGCTGTCCTCGAAAAGTCATTAAAGACATCGTTAAAATAGTGTATTGACTACAGGGGCTCAATCTTAAGTTTATCAAACGACGAGAACACTTTTGTGCACAAAAAAACAACAAAAATAACGACTTTATTTCAACTATTCGTTTATTTCTCCCTCTGCGCGAGTCAGGTTACTAGTTTAATAGCGTAAGCTTCTGTTATTGTACGTCACACGCATCACACACACATGACCAGCGTCGGCCAATAGTGAGCCTACGTGTGACGTAGCTCTACGCAATCACACTACGTTATCTGACTTACAGGCTCATGGAGAAGGAAGTGAATAGTTGAAATAAAGTCGTTATTTTTGTTGTTTTTTTGCGCACAAAAGTGTTCTTGTCGTTTGATAATCTTAAGATTGAGCCCCTGTAGTCACTTGGACTATTTTAACGATGTCTTTAATGACTTTTCGGGGACAGGAAGAGCCAGTACCTCAAGAAGCCTATGGACTGTATGCAGGAGCGATCTTAATATCTTAAATATCTTAATTTGTGTTCCGAAGATGAACGAAGGTCTTACGGGGTTGAAACAACATGAGGGTGAGTAAATACTGACAGAATTTTCATTTTTGGGTGAACTAACCCTTTAAAGTATTAATTTTAAAATTAATCTAAAAAAGTATTGAGCACTCTTTTGTGGTGGGACAAGTTAAATTCTGAACTACTGGTCTGGGAGGGTAGGAAACAAATCCTTATTGTTGATCCTAATCGTCAAAGTCAAAACTCTATGTGGTCCTCTTGTACTCAGACTCTGAAATGTCCTATATCTTTTTTTTTTTAGTGAACTGCCCGCATCACAACCCCGCGCTGCGATCCTGGAACCCAGGCCACGATCTCAAAAAGGTGGTGGTGGTACGCAGTGGTGAGCATTATCGCCTAGATTCATCTGCCACTCTATACTCTGTCACTATCCAGGCTGGAGGTAAGATCATTTGTCCATTGTGTGTTACCCTAAAAATAAGAAATTGTCTTTGAGAACACCTTGGCTTGTTAATTTGATGTGTTTCTGAATGAAAGTACTTTTATTAGGGTTTAAAGTCTGATTCGATTTATTCAATTATAGGTTTGGTTGTCTTTGCGGATGATAAAAAAGGCTCCAAAAACATTACATTGCGAACACGCCATATTTTGGTCGAAGATGGTGGCGCTCTCCATATTGGAGCTCCAAAATGCCGCTACCGCTCCCTGGCCACCATCACCCTGGTTGGCAGATCGGACGAGACCGCTGTGACTGAAGTACCCGGGATGGGCCGCAAGTTTTTGGGTGTGACTGGCGGAGGAACTCTGGAGCTCCACGGGTCAGAGAGGCTGTCTTGGACCTTCCTCACTTGCACCGTACCGACTTCAGGTTTGGCTACCGGTGACCATGCCTTCCAGAAGAACTTCAGCCGTGGAATTAACCTGCGGGTGGTTGATCAGGACACGGCGGAGGTGCTGAATAATGAGCGCTTCGACACGCACGATTCTCGTAACGACAGTAAGAGGCTGAGTGAGCTGCTGAAGTCTCTGCCCACAGGGCGCATTGTTGCACTGGCCATCGGAGATTCTGCAGTGAAGAGCCTACTGGATGAGACCAAGAGTACCATCCAGGATCTTCTAGGCAGCAACCATGTCAATAATCTCAAATACAGGTGAATAAGGGAGGCCTTTTGAAAGCATGATTACAAAAGGATTTCTACTGAAAAAGTATCTTAAACAAGCGTAAAGTCGGCTTGCTAGCTTGATCAGGCTGGTCTGTTGGCTGGTTTTAGAGTTTTTATTTTATTTGGCTCAAGCTAAAACCAGCTTAGGCTTTTTTTGCTGAGCAGGGATAGGATTATAGTTGTCAAAATGTACCGATTTTGGTACCAAGTCGGTACTAAAATTGTAAAATTGCCCATCAGTGAAGATCCTCATTGATGTATTAAAACATGTTTTTGAAGCACTGTTCACTGTAGCCAATCACAGACAAATCCAATGAGCGCTTGAGTACAATGGGCAATCAGAGGTTATAAGTTATCTCAAAGCGTCACATTTTTTTTTTACATTTTAGTACCGGCTGGTACCGAAGTCTGTTCCTTTTTGACAACTCTAGATAGGATTTCTTGTGGTGGGATAAACTCTTGTGTATGATTCCCCATAATTTTCCTTTGAATGCCATTATAGTCTGAACGTTTTTATAGCTGCAAAATGAGGCCCTGAAGGGTGGTAGCAGGAAAGAAGCTTTTTCCAATCTGGTGAGTTTTGTTTTGATATCTCCGAGCACAGCTTTGAAGTTACTGTGATTGGAAGCAGAAAGTATCCTGTTGTTCCATAAAGCATATCCTAATTCAGACTCACCCACTGAGGACCAGCTACTGAATCCAGCGTACATTGTGTATACTTTACGAGTCCCCTTCATGCAATGACGCAAACTTATTGGATACTTGTGCCATACTTAAAAATGTAGGAATGTCATTGCATTATCTAACTAAATTCAAACAATTTGTCGCGTTAGGTTTCATATTATAGAGCACAACAGATATAGGCCCTATAATTGTTCTATACTAACATGTAAAACATTGATTGTAAACAATAATGTATCCTGTCTACATTAGAAAAGACTGCAACGTGAGCTTTGTCTGTACAATTATAAGATAAACTTCATCACACTTCCTTTTGGGGGTAGATTAATGTATGACTAAGATAAGAATAAGCCGTAATGTTTGCTAGATTAATCCGCCCACTAAGTTACGGATTATGGTTGATAACAGATTACAAAAATGTACATGTCAATGTTAAATGATGCTGTGTTTGATGTATCACCCACCTCGGTAGACATAGCTCCTCACGATAAAGTTGGACTGTCTGGGACTCATTTGTTCAACACACCGGATCCGACAATAATAACAAAAGCACATGAGCGCGTCTACAGTAGAAAGGGGAGGAGCAGGTGAATTTACGACTGTGTTGTGAAATATTCGCACCACAGCTGTAGGGGAGCTTGTTGAGAAAACATGCGACAAGAATAGTGAAAATCAGCGAATAAGTGGCTAGAGGTACCGAACGGCCCTTTAATGCTGTCTTATGCAGTGACATTTATACATTTTTAAGTGTGACTTTGGTGTCCAAATACTTTCTAGGGCCACCGCACATTAATATTAAAAGGAAATTTAAAGCAAATATAAAAGTTCTTATTTATTAAGTCGGCATGTTGACTTTTGCCAGTATATTAAAGGGTTAGTTCACCCAAAAATGAAAATTAAGTCATTAATTACTCACCCCCATGCTGTACCAACCCCGTAAGACCTTCGTTCGTCTTCGGAACACAAATGAAGATATTTTTGATTAAATTTGAGAGCTGTATAACTACCACATTGCCTCCTAAGGGACTGCCTCTTGACGGCCCAGAAAGTCAATGAAGAAAATGTTTAAATATCCCAAGTGACTACCGTGGCTCAACTATATGTTTATCAAGCGACGCGAATACTTTTTGTGCGAAAAAACAAACAAAAATAACGAGTTTATTCGACTATTTCTTTTCTTCCTTGTAGGCCAGAAACGAGATTTCCTTAGATTTCCACGACGCATGCGTGAGAATTGCGATCTGAAGTAGTGTAAGCAGATCGCAATTCTCGCGCATGCGTCGTGGAAATCTAAGGAAGTCTCGTTTCTGGCCTACAAGGAAGAAAAGAAATAGTCGAATAAACTCGTTATTTTTGTTTGTTTTTTCGCGTTGCTTGATAAACATATAGTTGAGCCACGGTAGTCACTTGGGATATTTAAACATTTTCTTCATTGACTTTCTGGGCCGTCAAGAGGCAGTCCCTTAGGAGCCAATGTGGTAGTTATACAGCTCTCAAATTTAATCAAAAATATCTTCATTTGTGTTCCGAAGACGAAAGAAGGTCTTACGGGGTTGGTACAGCATGGGGGTGAGTAATTAATGACTTAATTTTCATTTTTGGGTGAACTAACCCTTTAATGAGCAGTCTAATAGAAGCCAAATGTTAGTAGCAAATAGTCCTAAGCACTCTTGGGTTTAACCTAACGGGTTGGTTGTTCCAGAGAAATGCATCTAAAGAAGTGCTTCAAATGGCAGTATTCTGCAGGAAAAGCTGGTGAAAGGTCAAACAGGCATATTTCCAGGATTTGTGTAAAAACCGCTGACTCGTGTATCCGTCATCTCATTGAAAGGCCTTTTGAAGAGTAGATGCTGTGTCTCTTTTGGTTACTTTGCAGATGGAAAGTACATGTTTTTGTTTTAAATAAGGGATATAGTTGTTCTTACTATGCAACTGAAAGTATTTTGTTAAGAGTTTAGTGTCAAATATAGAAATTCCTCCTGACAGAAAGCCTACTTTTACAGTCCACTGCTAAGGCACTTGTGTGTAGCATTCTCTTACTGCAAGAAACTTGGAAAATATTCATTCTGATTTATTTTAATGTTCAAGCTTTAAACTAGGTCTGGGTTCTTGGGAACCTCTTATTTCTGTTATACATAACTAGAACTGTAAGGCAAAGAAAAAGCATATCATATGAGGAAATAATATGTCTTCTGACTACTGACTGTACCATTGACTGTATCATTGCAGTTATGCAATTTCCAGAGAAATTGGTGTGAGAAATGGGCAGGATATGTTTAGTAGTAGGTGTGACTGAAAAATAACTTGAATTTACTCATTTAGAGATTTCAGTTTGACCCATTGCACACATAGAAATCTCTTACCCTTCCGCCTTACCAGTCAGACACGGATGAAAACATGCAATCTTGGCAGCTCCCTTTGCAAAAACAGAACAATCTGGCACAACCTAACTGAAAACTTGCGCAACATAAACCAGCCTGTCCAAGTCTAACCCCCCAATCCCCGTAGGCACTCCAGAGGGGGTGCATTGCAGCCCCACACATATCTTTGATAAAAATAAATTGACAAGCCCATTGTTGGTTAGTGTTAAATCTACTATATGGGTTCTGCCAATCTCTGACAGACAACGAGGCAAATTACTTGAAGTTGAGGTATGAAATAATGTTGATTATTAAAGTTTGATTGTGGGGTTAAGAAAGCACTTAACTTAACTAGTTATTTGGGGATTGTCCCTGTGGAAAGTGGTGTATATTTGGATACAAAGCATGTGCTAAGTGAGGGACGTGGGGACCACCAAGGGGGTCAGTGGAAAAATAAATAAAACAATAAATATAATTTAATACAAAATCATGTAATAAAATGTAAAAAGTAGGTGTTGTAAATGAATTCTTTTAGTGGTTAGAAAAACATAAACTTAATTTAATACGAAGTAAATATTTTTGAGATTTTATTTCAATCATTAATTTTGGCTGTGGTACAAATACAGTATAAAAGACAATGATTTCATAATTTTTCAAGTTTTTAATTTAACAAGATGTTGTCTATAATATTGTGTTTATAGTTTCATTCTCACATTGTATATGGGCCTTTTTAAGTAAAAATATTTTGATATTTTATTTTTCTACTTATTTTTTACTCAAATTTCATGCAGGTTTTGACATCCTTGTGCGATCATGAAAATAATTGTTGCCTGCTTTTAACATTTAAAGCAATGTTCCATGATTGTCAAACTAACTAAGACTTCTAAGTTTTAGTGCTACACAGAGAAAATGGAATTACAATGGTTTCACATGTTGAAGATGCTAAAAGTGCTCTATTTAATGATATTACACATAAATTTACACTTTTGAGGGTAGTGAATGGCCAGGAACAAGAAGGAAAAAGACAGGAAACATTCCTTTTTTAGTCAGACATAATACTTATTCTGAGAAATGAGGTAATATTGCCCTGGTGACTGCTAAAAGATGGAAATGTGAAAGATAGAACAACAATAGTGTGGTTTACTGGCCATCACAGACCTCCCACCTTGGCATAAGATGGCCTTATTGGTCTCTGTGTGGGTAGTTTGTCACCCTGTTTATCCACAAAGATTTTTATTAACTTGTCTTGGTCTAAACTGCAGTGAACCACATTCCTTAAAGTTCAGTGAGGCACTATTTTCCAAACCTCTGGGGGCTTTTGTGTCTGAGCCTTGGCCTTTAGAGCTCATATGTGTCAGTTAAACAAATAGCAGCTCTGACCTAGTTGTTTTTAAGAAGTGAATGCTATTTTTTCATTATGGAAGTATTAATGCTGCTGCAGAAACAGAAGCCAGTAGCTCCAGAGCCTGTTGAGCCATAATGGTTTTGTTTTTGGTATTCCTGACCTTTTTTTACACTCATTTTAGTTCAATTCTTGCCATAGCTGAATGTTGACATATCGAGAGAGGAAGAATGATTTTTTATATTGTATATTGGGCAAAAATATAATTAATTAATTGTGAAAAAAAAGTCAAGACACCCATTGTGTTTTTTTTTAAGTACTATGTTTAGAACTAGAATGTGTTCACGCAGTTCTTGTCCATGTCCAGGGGTTGTAAAGCTTCCAAAAATGACAAAAAGCATAATAAAAGTGGTCCAAATGACCCATGCACCCAAGTCTTCGTATGATGAACAAAATGAAAAATCTGTCATAGTTTACTCACCGTAATGTTTTCCTCTGTGGAACATAACAAGATATTTTGAAGAATATTCCATTCCCAATACTGAGCCATATCTCAAAATGTCATATTTTGCGTTTCAAAGAAGAAAGGACGTTTAGTTTGAGAGTGACATGAGGGTGAGTAAATGATGGCAGAGTAGTCATTTTGAGTTAACTTAGTTTAATCATACAGAAATGACTTGGAGGATGAGTAAATGAGAATTTTAAGAACCCTTTAACACACATCGGGAATACTCTTTTTGAAGAAAGCAAAGACAGAAATTCAGTTATCTTCAGTTATCTTGACAACTGCCCAACTAATGGGCTGACAAGAGAAATAATAAGAAGGAAGGATTCAATTAGTTATTCTCATTCATCTTTGACAGTGTTTGACCTTTTTCACCCCAGAGTTTTGGATGCTCTTCTGTTAAATTCCATTTATGTGCTGTAACCGATCATCACTTCCACATGGGAGTGTGTTGACAAGCCTAAACAAGGGGTCATTCAAACTCATTTGTAATTTATATTTTATTGTTATTGAGCAACTGATCATTGTTATTTTATGAATACAGAATTCTTCCAAAATGTGTTGCTTTTTTTTTTTTTTATCCCATATTGGCTTTCTTTTTAGCTTTTTCTCTCCATCCTCCATCTCTTTTAGGCAGGCATGGGCTTTGGTCTCAGTAATTGGAGGAGGGAATGGTTCTTGCACAGAAGATGTACGAGAACACGAGAACCATGATACAGGTGGCAAGGCGCTGGCTCGCCGAGACTTTGTCACTGTGGATGGTGTGGGTTTCACTGTTACTGCTTACAGTGAGTGGAGTAATGGTACGTATTGGACGGCACACAATCAAATCCATAACATCGACCAGTAATATATTAAAAGACAACCCTTTTAAAACTTACATTGGTTTTTGTTCAACAATAAAGGTTACCCTACAACAGGCATCCAAGTGGATGCAGTGGATAAAGTGGTTCTGAACTTGCAAGATGATGTTAGCAGCTGGAAACCGGGCGATCGGATTGTGGTGGCCAGCACAGATTATTCTATGCATCAGGCAGAGGAATTCACCCTGCTCCCGTGTCCCCACTGTAACAGCAAACAGGTTCGAATTCAAGGTGAGGCAGTGGTTTGTTTCCTCAGGTTTCTTGTTGTGACAATTTCCAGTGTTTCTGTCCTGAATCTTTCTCTGAATTTGTATACAGCTGAGTTTAAATGATACTAGTGTCATTAAGTTTAGGACAGGAAAAGGGTGAGGACTGTTTACCAGAAGAATCACATAAACAAACTGTCATTTCTGACTAGAGGCCAGCAATATAGAAAATTCCACCATCATGTACTCCACCCTGTTAAACACGCAGAAACAATTTGGACACAAATGTCTGAATGTCATTTCATTAGATAGAAAGATGTCTCTTATGCTCTCCTAGGCTGCATTTATTACATTTAAAAACTACAGTACAAGCAGGTATATTGTGAAATATTATTATAATTTAAAAGAACTGTTTTCTATTTTAATATATATTTGAAAATGTAATCTATTCTTGTGATGGCAAAGCTGAATTTGCAGTGTCACTTGGTCCTTCAGAAATCAAGCTGATTTGGTGCTCAAGTAACATCTGTAATTATTATCTGTGTTTAAAACAGTTGTGTTGCTTAATGCTTTTGTAGAAACCATGATACATTTTTTGGGGATTTTTCTGATGAATAGAAAGATCAAAAAGAAAAAGAAGAGCAGCATTTATTTTAAATAGAAATCAAATGTAACATTATAAATGTCTACACAGTCAACTTTGATCCATCATGCATCATTTCTGAATAAAAGTATTAATTTCTTTAAAGAAAGAAGAGCCCAAACTTTATGATTGTGCATATCTTTAAAATAAATGCCACTTGAATGTATATTGTTGTAAAATGCTAAAACATTTATACATTATTAAGTGTTGTTTAAGTGTCCAAATAGTTTATTTGGTGTATTGTGTATGAATTACTATGTGGCCATTATTCCCAGCACATGTCTTAAGTCCTTGGAGAATTGGAAATTTGTGGCCTTTATTGAAAGAATGTAGTTTAAATGTCACCTTGTCCATTGTGTGCTGTTGGCAAAGCTGTTGCCAGCCCTTATCCTTCCGGAAGGATACGATGTGCACTCCGGTTGTGCGTAAAGGGCAGTCCGATTGAGCGGACAGGTTGCTTTCCTTCCTGTATCCAGTATTTATTTAACATACTTTTAGTTAATTAATCTAAGTAAATGATCAAAATATTTAAATAGAGAAATGTTATTTGTTAGCAGTTGGAAGTTCATTATTTTAGATCTCTCTAAATAATCATATTTTCAAACTTTATCATTTTTATTTCACGGGGTGTGTTAATGTGTTGGAATTTTTCAGGAAAGCCTCAGTTCACCCACGTGGGAGAAATACTGGACGGTGTGGATATGCGTGCAGAGGTGGCTCTCCTCTCAAGGAATATCCTTATTCATGGAGAAATGGAAAACTCCTGCTACGGAGAAAACTGGTGCCAGTATTTCAGCTACGACACCTTCGGGGGACACATCAAGGTTTGTTCGAGGGTCTGTGCGTGTGTGTGTGTGAGAGCGGGTGTGTGTTTATGTAACACTAAGCTGTCTGGTGCTGTCATGTAGAGAAATGACAGGCTGTTGTATGTTGGGGTTAGCACCGGATAATTGAATATAGTTCTTTTTTTGAATGGAAGGAACTGAAAGTATAAAATGTGTGTGTTGTGTTTGGCAAAAGAATGAACAACACGCAGTAGCACTTATACGACTTCTGATTTTTTACTAGTCGTCTAGTTACTTTATGTAAATTACCAACCATATATTATGCAGCAGTCTTTGCTGTTTCTGGCAAGTCTGTTGGAGTGGTTGTAGAGAAAAATAAATGATTTTTGTTTTTAATTATTAATTTGTTCATTTAAAATATGTCATTATATTATTTTGTAATTAAAAATAATTTTGAAAATGTTTGTATAATTAATACCTTTTTTTACTATATTTGATCTTTTTTATTATATTTTTTATTTTATTATTACTATATTATATTTATTAGTTTTAATATAATTTTGTGCAATTAAAAACAACTTAATGATTTTATTTACTATCAGTTATTTTAAAATAAAATTAAAACCACTCACAATTAAAAGGCAGAAACACTTTTTTATTTGTTCACCAAAACTTTGTGGTCTTGCGTTTTTGGTCTCATTTTTGTGTATGTTTAGATTTTGGGGAACTTCTCATCGGTTCACCTGTCTCAAGTGGAGCTGAAACACATGGGTCAGCAGCAGCAGAAGGGCAGATACCCTGTGAACTTTCATAGGTGTGGAGATGTGGATCAGCGCGGGGGCTACAGTGACCCCACCTATGTGAACTCCCTGTCCATCCATCATTCCTTCTCCCGATGTGTTGCTATACACGCCACTAACGGCCTGCTGGTGAGATAGAAAGATACAGAGCGAAAACACATAGTAAAGTCTGAGACCACATTGAAAATATGAGATTTTGTTTCACCATGATGTCTTCCTTTTATTATAGGTTAGGGACACTGTTGGGTATGACTCGCTGGGACATTGTTTTTTCTTGGAGGATGGGATTGAACAAAGGAACATATTTTTCCATAACTTAGGGTTGTTGACCAGGCCAGGGACCATTCTACCTACTGACCGCAATGATAGCATGTGCACAGACATTATCGACAGGGTGCACAAAGGATATATACCATCTCCTGCAACCGAGTGCAAGTAAGAAACTGTAAACACAAATTCATTTTATATTGCTGAATCAACCTGTTACTCAAAATGAGTCCAATATTCACATTGCTTGGAGCTTATCAGTGTAAAATTGTGCATGTGTGTGTATTTTATCTTAAAGTATCCTGATGTACAGACTACAGTGTGCTTGTTCTGACCTTGCCAATGTGACCCACTGCATTGTTTGGTCAAATAACAGAAAGAACAGAGCTCTCATTTCCTGAGACTCAGCGATTGTTCTTTTCTCTTATCTGGGTAATAAAACACCCAATGTCCCAGATGGCTAAGCAGGTGCTGTTTTCAAAAGAAAAAAAAAAAAATTTGGGAGCTTGTATAGAGCTGTAGATGAAGGATGAAGATAGAGGTTTGAATAGGTTTCAGTGTTGTTGGTCTTGATCAAAGAGTGAGATAGTCCAAGCAATGCAATTCAACCACCAACTGTTTTATTTATTTTTTGTTTAACACTGTTAACTATTGCTAGCTACCATTTGAATTTCTAATGCAGGCAGGTTTTACATTTTTTAATATTTATATTAAATAAAAACTTGCACTAAAATTAATTTTTGGCTATTTTTACTTTGTTTCAGTTAATCTAAAATAAGGATAAAAAATAAGAATTGTGTTATGGCGTTTTAGTTTCAGTTTTGTCGATTAATTTTACGTAAATATTATTTTTGACAATTTTTTTTTGAAGCTATATTTCAACATTAAAACCTGTCTTACTCGCTAACTCTTACCCTAACCAACAGTAATTCAGTTTAACCAGACACTGAATGCAGTCAAATACTGTATAGTGCTATATTTACCTGGATATGAATAATACTGACTGTAAAGTGAAATATGTACAGTACCTACATATATCCATGCTTCATATTTTCAATTTATTTTAAAGTTGAATTTTATTTTATTTTTTCATTGAAAAGATCCTGTCTTATGTGTGTATTCTAGGGCAGTATCTACATTTTGGATCGCACACCCCAATAATCATTTGATCAGTAACTCAGCAGCTGGATCACAGGTATGCACAATCTTTGATATGACCAAATGGATAATTTTCACAATGATCTGTAATGAACAGTGAGTAAATGCTTGCTTACAACATTTTCATGGACGTTTTTGTGAGCTTTTGTGCTCTTTGAAATGATGCCCTCTGTGATATTGATGAAAACATTGGGGAGGTTATGCAATCACAGATAGCATCTCCTCATTCCAATCCTTTATTAAAGATGTGTTTGCCAATATAAATCAGTTCAGTCTGGTGGTATTGTTATGCTTTGCTTTGTTTGTTTGAGGTTTTGTATATAAAATGGATGATCCCTCCACCCTTTTTTATTAAGGAAAAGCTTCTTATGAAGATGTGCTCTCAGCAGGCCAGGTTAATAGAGACTCAATCTGGTTCCTGTGATTGATATCAGATAACTCAGGAATAAATATTATTCACAGCCCTTCCACTAGTACAAAATAGGGAATTTTTAAAGCAAATTAGAAGTTGAAGGAGATGTTTACCATATTATGAAAAGTGCCAGGTATCTAAATTTCCCCCTCATTCTCAGTTTCTGAATTTTTTTATTTTTTTTTTCTCTCAGGATGCAGGAATTTGGTACATTTTCCACAACTCTTCTACAGGTGACTCTCACGGATTGATTCCAGAGACAAAAGCTGAGCTCACGCCTCTGGGCATCTTCTTTAACAACCGTGTTCATTCCAACTTTAAGGTAATCAAATGCCTTATGACTCGAACACCAAACTCTCTAATAAAGATATCTCAGAATACTTTAACATTCCTCTGTCCTTTTTGTACACAATCTTCAGGTGATTTCAAACAGCGTCAATGCTATTGCTTTTTCTCCATCTACATTTAATGCCCACCTCCCTGTGGTGAAATTAGCATTTCCTCCCTCTGGCTCATAACAGTTCAGTTCATAAATCATTTGGGATTTGCAACATTGTATTAAACGTGGCTTCAGGAAAAACTGATGAAATCAATTACAAGTTCAGGTTTTATTGCACATACCCAAGGCATCTTCGTTGTTTCTCTGAATTGCCTCATTGTTCAATGTCCCACACAATGTGCTTGTGTGACAGGGTGCTCTCACATACATTTCCCTATACAATAGTTCTCTGTTATCTGCTTGTTTATGTTCGGTAGCTTGAGCTGTGTTCAGTTTCAAAACTGTCCAGATGGAGAGAAAATCCAGGCTTCACTTTCACTGCACAACTCGCACGGTACCTGAGATTGAACATACAATTTCTAAGTGAGGAGTGATTGCTTTTTTCCTCCCGTGTCAGGCTGGCCTCTTTATTGATAGAAAAGTCAAGAGCACCAACGCCACTGCGGCAGACCCACGTGAATATCTCTGTCTGGACAACAGCGCTAGGTGAGTGGTTATGTTAAATGTTTCTCTGTGTCCAGGGTATGTTGATTCTGCTTATAAAGAAAACACATCTGTCCGGATAGAGTTTCTCTAGTAATTAGGGAATATGGTTGAGCCGGACAGAGCTCTGGTCTCTTTCTAGGCCACAAACCACAGTGACCACACTATAAATATACAGTCATAGTGTCATGGTTTGTAAATGCTGTGATGTAAGTTACTCCCGTTTTCATTTATACTCCCGTGACTTTATTTTGTCAACATGCTGTTCTTTCAAATTTGTGTGTGAATCTCACGTTTACAAAAACGTAGTTCACATTTTACAGCAAAATCTTTTACAAATAAACAAATTCTCCAAAATTCTCATTACCATAAGGTGTCTGGACATTTTATTTACTTTTTACCTACATTTACATATTTATAACAAAAATATATAGATCTTTTTTAGTTGCGTTAAAATGGAAGTAGTGATATCTTTTTGTCTATTTAGGACGTACATTGAGTGAAATGGATTAGCGGAAAAGAAAAAAATTTATGGTGTGGACTACTGGTTGTGGTTAATTGGATTTTGAGATGTTGGTGTCAATCAAAAATGGAGGCAGATGAATTATGCATATAACTACTGTTCCCAGAAGGAGGGAAACGAGGTACAACACATGACTATGGGATGTCGCTCTCTAGCAGTCTACTGAAGACACCTTTTATTCACGCCTGGAAGGCCAATGACGCATGACGAAGTGGGCGGGGCTCTTACCCACAGCATATAAATGCAGTCATATGTGTTATTTTCCTTTGTTCAGTCCAGCTCTTCACCGAACCTCCGACTGCGTGAGGCTCAAAGGTGTTGTACCTTGTTTCCCTCCTTCGGGGTTCACTAGTTATATGCATAACTCAATTTTCCCATTCAGTCTTTTTCTACAATTCTATGTGAAAGACATCGCTTGGATAGCGGCTTCTCACTAGCCGAGTAGCAAAACATGACAAAAGGCTGGTCAGAGCGTTTAGCCTGTATCTGCCCAATGTACATGCGTGTAACTCGCACAGGACACAAAGCAAGTCTACTGTCTAACTCTGAGTCAGAGATTTTACAGGGCAGGTAGTTCAAATGAGAATGCACTCTCGACATGAGTTTAGGCATATACGCCGCGTTCGGACGCAACACCACCAAACGCAAATCGGGTGCAAAAGGAATGCAACAATAGCACATGAAAGTTCCCAACGACAGGGCAGCATCCTTATATTCAAACAAGGTTAACAAATAGCCTCCAGATCTCCAGCCTCCAGCATATATAATATACTGTATTTCATAAGACATTTGTATGGCAAAGAAGCACTCGCATTTGAATTTCTCATTGTCTGACGTTGCTTTCTCAGGTTCAGGCCTCATGAGGACTCTGATCCAAGCAAGCCACGGGTGGCCGCACTCATTGACACACTCATCTCCTTCAAAAACAATGATCTGGGGGCCTGGATTCGTGGAGGTGACGTCATCATACAAAACTCTGGGTAGGGGACGCAAATTAATTGTAGACCTACTAAGCTTAAAACCTTTTGAGACCTTTTGCTATCTTCTGATTATTGTTTTATTTTTCTGATAGTTTTGCTGACAATGGTGTTGGACTGTCATTTGCAAGGTACTGTGTCATTTTATTGTTTTTCAGAGCTAATTCGTATCTATTGTTTATCACATATATTGATCATTCTTGAGCAAAGTCCTCAAATGAAAAGAATTCAAAGCATTCCCATAAAAAATGATGGTGGTACAATGTCTTATATTGCTCCAATGGTAGGAAATCCCTGATTACAAAATTTACATGCGGTTCAAAAGACGTGATCAATTGCATTAATCTTATCTCACTATTTAAAGAAATAAAAATGATAAGAATGGTATTAAATGTGCTAAATTGACAGATTGATTTATGTGAGTGTGTGTATGTGCTGGCATGTTCTTGCTGTCTGTGTCTCTGGCTGCAGGCATATTCATTTAAAGGAACATATTTTTATTTTGATGAAACATTTACTATTTGATTGGCAAATGTGTGCAAGCGTGTGAAGTGAACTTGCCTGCGCTAGTGTTCTACATAAACCTCCTTAGGCAAGCAATTAATAAAGCAACTAAAGTGTTTCACTCACTCCTCCCTGCAGTGATGGCAGCTACCCTAAAGATGAAGGCTCCAGTCAGGAGGTCTCCCAGTCCCTGTTTGTTGGCGAGAGCAGAAATCGTGGCACCAATGGAAGGCAAAATAAATACTGGGGAAATGGTGGAGTAGACGGAAAGATGAGGACTCTACCAAGAAACAAGTATGTGAGAGAAGAAATAAAGGGAAAAGAGAATAGTGTTAACATAAACTTTCAGTCTGGTTTAGCGGGAAGATAAATGATTTGTGTAATCTGAACATTGTTTGTGTTTTGCTTTGTTCTTGTCAGGACGTTTCCGATCAGAGGTTTTCAGATAAATGATGGTCCAGTGAGGATCTTGAACAGCACGTTTCGAGCCTTCAGTCCCACTACAGACCGCTTCACCATGGCTGTGGGATTCAGCCTGAAAAACATCTGGCAGCTGACACCCAGAAATAACCTGTCCTCTCTCGCCTTCCACCCTAGTGTGAGTGCACGTACACATTAGCCTTGGAAACTGTTCAAACACTCTCTGATACTGGTATACTTTACTGGCATACGGTTACTGCTCAACCGCCTAACACACAAAAGTTGTGCACATTGTTTTAATTTTGCATTTTTATTTTATTTTTTATTAGTTAATTATAGTTTTGAATTTTTATTTTAGAATTTACTTTTTTAAATTTTCATTTTTTGTTTAGTTTAGTTTTAAATCTGACTGTTTTTTTTTCCTCCAGTATTTTATAGTTGATTTTTTAATTTTTTTTATTTTAGTCATAATATTTTGGGACTGCCAAAGTTACTGCAGTTGCAGTTTTTTTTTGACATTTTTTACCTATGATTGTTTTTTTTGTTTTTTTATTGGGTCAGAGATGACTTAGACTAATTAAAGTCTGGGAAACCCTGGGGCAACCTGGACTTAATTGCATTACTCAAGGTCATAAAGACTTTTCTTTTCTCCCAGATAACACACCTGGTCTGTCTAGTCTGTAATAAGTCTTTTATTTATTTACCTTAAGTGCCACTAATGCTTGTATTTATTGCTCATTTCTCAGGGAGAGATGACACATCTGGTTGTTCTCTCCTTATTGGTCACCATCTGCTCTGGTGCTGAGTAATGAAATAAACCCTGTTCTGGCAGGTCCAAGTGTGGTCATATTTTGCCTCACTTGATATGCGTGAATCGTACCACATTGATTCTAGTTCTGTCTGGATGTTTTTTTTTTTTCTCAGTACCATTTTCAGGACATTTGATAGGTTTTAGAATCTTTCTGTTTACATTTCTCATGACCAATGATCCTCTTTTAATCATCTAGGTGAATCTTAGAGCCTTTTTTGGTCGACCGGGTGAGTGGTTTGAGCAGAACGATCTGGATGGCGATAAAAATTCTATCTTTCATGACCTGGATGGCTCGATCAGCAATTACTCGGATACATATGTGGCAAGGGCCGACAATTTTCTGATCCGCCACCCTCAATGTGTGGATGTTCCTCATTGGAATGGGGTTGTGTGCAGTGGCAAATACTCTCAGGTAAAGAAATAGATCTCTCACTCTCCTTTTACATTTTGATGTCATGTTCATATGCTACTACACAACCATTCAAAAGTTTTTGGTCAGTAAGATTTTTTTTTATGCTTTTGAAAGAAGTCTTATGTGCTCACCAATGGTGCATTTATTGGATCATATGTAAAGTAAAATTGGTAATATTATTGGCAAAGTTGAATTTTCAGCAAGTAACATTTCTTCTTATCAATATTGAAAACCAATATGTTTAATATTTTTGTGAAAGCAGTGATTTTGATCCACTTTTGATCACTTGAATGCATCCTTGCTGAATAAAAGTAGTAATTTCTTTAAAAAAATATATTTTACTGACCCCAAACTTACCTGTAAAATCTTAACTGTTTTTGCTTTCTAAAAAAATGTTACTTTTGTTCTATATAGGTGTACATACAGACACAGGGCGCGTCTAATCTAAGCCTGTCTATCATCAGAGATGAGTACCCTGATAAACCCATGGTTCTCAGAGGTGTCAGAAGCCAGACAGCACCAACCCAGCAATACCAGCCTGTATTGATGATGGGCAAGAGCTATACAGTGCACTGGAATGGACCTGCACCCAGAGAAACTGTCCTGTCACTAATTAATTTTGAGCAGTAAGTAACAAAGGAGGAATGCGATCCTCCATATCTAAAACAAAACATTAGGCCTGGCTAATGAAGTCCTGAAGGGTTACTGTCCCGCAGAGTTTAGCTTGATAAAAACACCTGCCTGTAATCCTGAAGACACTGATTAGCTTGTTCAGGTGTGTTTGGTCTGTATATTAGGTTTGGAGATAAACGTTGCTGACAGTGGCCCTCCAGTTGCCCATCTGTGCACTTAATTATATAACCATGAGATTTTAGTAATTAAGTAATATACATGAGTAACATGTTTCTCATATTAGAGACAATGTGATGGTTTTTTATTTTACTGTTGCTTTTGTAGGGGTGATTGGGCTCTACTTGGTATCTGCTACCCCAATGAAACCGTATTCCAGATCACATCAGACATCTACAACAAGCAGAACAATGGCTTTGATGGCATAGAGGATTATGGCCCCGTGTCGTCCATTTCAGACCTAGAGAAACGACAGCAGGAGAGGAAGTACTTTTTCGACAAATCTGCTGGGTAGGAATAAGTATATTCATCCTTTATCAACATATTCATTTCACAAAAGTCTGTAGAGCAGTAAAAACGTAAATCTGTTGTTTTAAGTGCCAAGTGAATAATAATATAAATGAACACAATGAAAAAATGGATATTATTTTTGTTGATCTGCTAAAGATTTAACGGTAACACTTTACAATAAAGGTTCATTAGTTAATGTTTTATATATTTGTTACTGTTTATCTTTAACTTCAGTTAATAAAAATACAGCTGTTCATTGTTCGTTCATGTTAGTTCACAGTGCATTAACTAATGTTAACAAGATTTTAATAAAGTATAAGTAAATGTTGAAATTAACATTTTAATAGAGTAATAAATTCTTTTTAAGTCCAATCCATTATTAGTGCATGCTAACTTATGTTAACTAATGAACCTTTCTGTAAAGTGTTACAGATTTAATGGTGTTAATTAGTATTTAGACGACAAAGGAATTCTAAATGTAAAATAAGGGAAATTAGCATACGAACATGTACCCAATTTTAGCCAATTTCAAATAAAAAAAACTCCGTATCATATAAATCATATAATAACAATTATTGATGTGGTAGTGATATAAACTACTTTTCAAAAGTTTGAGTCAGTAAGATTTTTTTTATATATATTTTTTAGTCTCTTATGCCTTAATAAAGTCTTAATAAAAATTATAGTAAAAACAGCAATATTGTGAAATATTACAACTTAAAATATCTCTTTTGTATTTCAATATATTCAATTTGCAAATTTTCACTGTAATATATTGCTGTATAGAAAAGAACAGTGTGTATTTGAAATAGAAACATTGTAACTGTCTTTACTGTCACTTTTGATAAATTTAATGTGGTGGTGCAGAATAAAAGTACGGTATTCATTTCTTTCAATCATTCCAAGTCTTATTGACCAACAAACATGGTAGAAACTTTGTGTGAATGAGTCAGATTTTCTGAATGATTCCTCTTTCTGCCATTGGCTGAGACAGAAATTATGTAAAAAAAAAAATCAAATAAACTGTTTTTAAATCAAATACAGATAAATGATTGTTTACAGTGTGGTCTGTTCAGTCTGACACATTAAGCCTGTGTTTAACCTCCAGTTTGTTATGGCTGTATGCGCGAGCTCGGCACAGACGAGACGGCCATAGCTACTGCTCCACCGCAGGCTGTGAGAGGGTGAAGATCATCGCCACCATACGTGCCAACCAAAAGACTCAGGCCTGCAACTGCACCGCCAATGCCTACCCCAAATACAGCAAGCCTGCCAGCAACATAGTGCCTATGCCAAAGCCGAACACAGAGCCCTGCAGAGCCTGCGGGGCCTCACAGGTAAGTACGGTCCAAGCTCCATATGAACGGACAACATCATTTGTGTAGCTCTGTTTGTGTGGGGCAGGCTTTGAACTGACTGTCCATCTGCCATCCTGACCAAGAGCCTCGCCTTGCGTTTTCTGGGTAATTTTAACATGGAGTCATGAAACTGTTAACACTGAGTGACTTTTTCTCTTTTCTCTGTAGTTTGCCTTCTCAAGTGAGCCATGGAACAGCTACCTCCAAACCCAGATCAAATCCCTCAGTGTACAAGAAGAGCAGAATGACACACAAGCCTATATCACTGTTAGTGTGACCATTCAATGCATGATTCCCATACTGTAAAACTTCAAATAATAGCCGAGTGTGTTTTTTTTTTTTTTTTTGGGTTGTATTTAATCTAATAAAACCGCAAATTTTTGTCGCAAATTTATGTATATGAGTATATATGTAATCTTTATATATATTCTCATATACATAAACTAAAATACGTTTTATTCACACACAAAAGCATGCACACAATACTTGTTGTATTTGTGGTTTATGGGGACTCTCTATAGGCGTAATTGTTTTTATACTGTACAAACTGTATATTCTATCCCCCTACACTAACCCTACCCCTAAACCTACCATCACAGAAAACTTTCTTCACATTTACATTTTTAATAAAACATATACATATAGTTTTTAATATTTGTTTTTATTTTACCACAAATTTTGTATGTATCCAAATTGCGTATTATCCAAGGTACTGTACACATTTCTAGTAATTTTATACAGTATATTATAGAATATTAGAATTTGTGTTTACTTGCATAGTCTTTTGTGGATGCATAAAGAATGAAGGTTGTTTACTTGTAAAACTGTTTTGAGGACCTGTTTCCTCTTTTTCTTGTCTCATAGGTAAATGCAGAGAGATTTGACCTCAACCAGTCAGGGTTCCTCCTAGTGACGGTGGACGCATGCTCTGGAAAAGTCACAAAGAGCTCATTGTTTTCAACGCTGGACACTAAAATGGAGCAGTATTTTAAAACTGGAATTATGAAGAGGTGAGCGGTGGGTTTGGGATTTGAAACCGCACGTCTGGAGGTTAGGAGAAATTGGCAGAGGAGGAAGAGGTTGAGAGGTGGCTTACAGTCTTTATCATATATGTGTGTATGTGTATATATGTGTGTGTGCGTGTGTATATATATATATATATATATATATATATATATATATATATGTATGTATTTGTTTTTAACAAAAGATTTAATAATAGCATTTAATAATAGCAAATGTTTCTTCATTACCAAAGAACATATTAGAATGATTTCTAAAGGATCATGTGACAGTGAAGACTGTGATAAATTCAGCTTTGCCATCAAGGGAATAAATTACATTTTAAAATAGATAAATAGAAAATTTATTTTTTATTTGTACTAATATTTTACAATATTACTGTTTTTACTGCTTTTAAATGAATGGTGCGGCTGTATTTTTGTTCAGCCTAGGTGAGCATAAGACTCGTGAGTCAAAACCATCTTACCAACCCCAAACCTTTGGACCTTCAACTATTATGAACCCTTTCTTTTTTTTTTAAGGTGAGCATTTCCATATTTCACTGATTAGACTAAATCATTTTGGTTCTGTGTAGGTCAATAGTTCTTCTTGCCACAAGAGGTCAGCCTGACATTTCTGGTATTGCACAATATCTGGTCTCTTTGGGATCTGCTAAAACACCAGATCTTCAGAAGAAAGGTAAGGTATTTCTACAACACGTAAAAAAAATAACTGTCAAAATCTGTTTGTCCTGGTTGAGGTTTACTCTGAGATTGCTGATTCCCATGACGTGTCTTTACAGACGCCATTGCTTTCTTTGGGTTCCTCGGTCAAGGAGGACCTTCACCACAGCCATGGTCTGCTCTGTTGGCCTGCCAAGGCACCAAGGTGCTGGGATTACTGGAAAGGTTCATTCCCCTGTCCCTTGAGGATTACTCTTGTCCACCACAAAAACACCCTCCCACTCGGATGGATCTTGAACTCCTGAGAAAATCTCTTAGCCAAAAGTGAGCCTTTACTGGATGTGAACAAACAACACAACCAGCGAATGAATGTGAACTTATGAACGTAATTTATTTCGGCAAAGACAAGTGTTAATGGACTTTAAACAAGTATTTTATTAATTGAGTTGAATGTATTTGTTTGTTTGTTGTTTCGTCCTTCGTGGTTGTGTTTTGTCATAAATGTTACAGCACAAAGTGATGCACTTTTTTTAACACCAAACATCTTTATGAAAGACTGGATAAAAAATGGACAGGGCAAGCTAGAAGTACATCGTAATATGCTAAGGGATGGTTTTGCGTTTCAGTATTAACTGTGCAGAAGTACAGCACAATACAAATTGTTATCTGAGGGGTCTCTTTTCCTCATCCAACCATCTGCAGCTGTAAATGACACTCAGGCTTTCCTTATTTATTCCTCTTAAATTGTTGGGATATTTTGTTATTTAATTTTCATTCTGCTCTTTACTGCACACACACACACACCATTGACTCAACATTATATACTTTCACACTTAATATTAGACTGTATTCATGTTTGGTTTTACCTTAAACATTGACTATAGTCAAAATAATTTTCATAAAACAATTGTCTAATGTTAGATATGTGTATGCAGAAAAGGTGTTTAACCAGTTAGCATGCAAGTTTTGTTTACTATCAGGTCACTTGCCGTTTATCAAAAGAAATCACACCAACAGATTTTAATGACAGATTAATGTTCTGTTATCATTTATTCACATTTGTGTTGTTCCAAACCTGTATTTCTTTTAAAAGTGGAACTCAAAACGAGATGCAGAAGCAAGTACCATTTTATTTCCAATGCATGGGGAAAAATAAGTAATGTAAGTGAATGTTGACAGGTTGTGATTCTAGCTGTCTAATTTTGTTTAAATGAAGGTGTATAGATAGTCATATGTTTGGAACAACATGAGGGTAAGTAAATGAGAAACACTTTCATTTTTGGTTGAACTGCCCCTTTAAATAATGTCCATTATCAATTGCCATCACTTAGCCTGAGAGATGTAACATCCCATTTATAAATAATCGTCATTATGTTTTATTGAAATGGAAGCCATTTGGTCCGTGTACGTTTTGATAGTTTGTTTTTTTCGTTTGAAACAAAAAACAAAATAATGAGAAACCACCCTTTTTTCGTTTTTCGTTTCAAACTATTTGTCTGTATGTGCCGTTTTGAGTTTAATTAGTTTGGCTACTTCTTAACCACTGTACAAGGAGTTTTATTGGTCATTTGAAACGGAGATAGTCTTGTAAACTGTTTCTTAAAGATGAAAAAAGTTTTCCCTAAGTAAATGAGTGTTGCCTCTAGAGTTATATTTTTATTTGTAAAATGTTTTTTTTTTACTATATGCTTTTGTGCTGTAATCTGATGTTTGTTTTTTATGGTCAGGTAAGATTTTACAAAGCTTATAAAACAAAAAACTCGTATTTGTGGTCATGTTTACTTTGTGTGTGTGTGACGTAAAATACTTGTAGGCACTCAAGTGACGAGTAGGGGGCAGAGTTGCTTTACTAGTCATCATCATGGAGAAGATTTCCACCAGTGCTTTCCCGGGTAACAGAAGACTGGCATCCGTGATCCAGGTCATCGAGCTTGGTCCCATAAACAGGAACAGGATCCGGGACCAGGGTGTGTGATATATGAAGTGAGCCTCTGACATTCAGAAATGAGATCTCATCAATTATGTAGGCTTCAAACACATAACGTTAACCGTTTTCTTCCAGTTGCTATTTTATTCTTTCTTTCTTAGCTCCTTACTCTTCTGAACGATAACATGCACGACAAGTAAATTAACGTTACTTAATTGGCAATACTGAATCGTTTTACAGCACAATTTCACCTGTTACATCTGACACACATTTGTCTGTTTAACATCAAATAAGTTTTTTTTTATTGACCACCATACTGTAGCATGTTTTTCGTTAAACAGAGACTCTTGTTCCCGCCGAAATCTTCCACGCGCGTGAGAATATTGTCAGCATGGCACGTAGGCCGCTAGAACAATAAAGAAAAAAAAAAAAACTCTGCTCACTCCTACTCAAATGATGCCCATAACCGTATTAAACCCTCTGATCGTCGGTTTCATGTTAATCTGAAAACCTTAGCCTGCGAATGGCTAACTTGGAATATAAATATACGCAAGTTCGTCTTTGGCACATTTCAACCATGGTGTCCTGTGTGGCTCGAATGCAGGATACTCTTATGTTCATTGTATATCCAATAACAGAACATTTGTAAGATTTTTTGTTTTTTTGCTGCAGACATTGTAACTTATATCTTCAGTTGCTACAGCAAGGAAACAGAAATGGCGGACTGTTGCAGCTCACTCAGGGCAGTAGCCTAGCCAGCCTATCTATGTACTGTGAATGTCAGAATTGTACCAGATTACATGCTCCTGGACAAAACAACAACAACAAACAAAACTGCCAAGCCAAAAATAGCAAAATATTTTGTGGTCCTTTAATGATCTTAACCATTTTAATCACAAATCAGTAAATTAGCAAGAATTGCAGAGATAAAGTATTGTAGAAAAAGTAATTTAGCGTGGATTAGCCTTCCCTAACTTGCAGACAGGAAGAAGAGTCAGCGTTGAAGAGTCACTCAATATTAACTTCAAACAGTTCACGAGTAGGTGAAAAATGTCTGCCATTTCATTTGAATTTAATGCTAGATCAAATGTTCACTATAGGGTTCAATTCTAGACTGACCAGACCAAAACATTAGCGTGATGGGCTTGTCCTCAAGCCCCTTTTCAATGTTTCATTGAAAAATAACATATATAATTTCTCTTTAGAAAAGAACTTTAAAGATGTGGGAAGCAAACCATTCTGCAATATTTTCCTGTACTCAAAAGCATTAAATGACTTTTCACAGTAAAGTAGCTCACCAATACCAGCTGCTAAAAAGGCTCCCCACACAATAACACCTCTTCCTCCAAGCTTCACTGCTAGAGATGCATTTATTATTATATTTCTCAGCAGATTTTCAAAGGCACCACTCTGGAGCTTCACCATGTAACTCGTGTTTCATTGTGATTCATCGCTCAACACACAACTTGCCGTGTTCTGCCAAAAAGTTAATTCTGTCTTTTCATTCTGGCTTATCTGTTGCTTTCGTTGACGTGAACTCTGTTAAATTTACATATAGTGCAGGAATTGAAGATCATTTTTAAATGTTTTGTGGATATTTGTTATTTGGTCAAGTGTAAAAAGAAGCGTAGCAAAAATCAGATACTTTAGCTTCAGTGAATGCATTAAGTGACTAAATTTAAACGAGCCCATATATTTCATTTCTTATTATTTTCATCTCAAAACTTGTTAGGGTAAAGATAAATTTTGTCTCAATTGAGCATCATGTGGTTTGAGACATTGAATTTTTTTAAAAGATTTTGCTCAGACTGTTCTTATGTTTAAATTTTTGCCCAACCGTGCTGTATAGTGTATATGTTTGTACCAGACTGTGTGTATCACACATTATGGTGCAACAGACTAAGATATCACTGCACAGTTCAGGCATGGGGTCGTTAATAATTAAATGACTCAGAAAGAGACATAGGGGTATGCTACTATGGCAACATCCTCCCCCCAGAAGGTGGCACTTAGTGGGGTAGTGTAAATGTCGACTCTGTTTAATGAAAAGTCAGGAACTCACCGCGCCTTAAATTGTCCAAATGAGGTTTGTAGACCAAAACCTTCAATTAGGGAAACACTTCAAAAAGCCTGCACATTTTAACGATGAAGGGGAACCACCAATTGCAAGATAAAAACCGTGCTTTTATGAAAAAGTGACAAACGTTTCGGTCACATGACCTTTCTCAATAATTACTTAACTATGCTCAGTGCAGTAGCCATCTTAATATAAGGAGTCGATCTTGATTGCATGGATCACATAGCTAACCAAACTAGGGTATAATAACAATCCAGATGATATTTGCAGCGCACAACATAATACATGAAATTATCTCACTACACAATCCAATAAAGATTCAATGATGATACATATTAAAATAAAAAGAAATCAATAGAAAATTCCCAAAAATATAAACAATAAAATGGAAACGCTAGAGCAAAACGTAATATTTAAAGAAAAATGTATTATCTTAAAGGGAAAAAAGATATTGAAATGGTGTAACAAATTAACAAGATTCACCAATATGCTTGGTCTTAGCCAATAAATATCAATCTATACAAACAGTTCAAAAGTAAAAACTAACAATTATTGATATAAATAAATAAACATAAAATTGGAGAACACAAACATTTACACTCTGGACTGATGAGAAGACATCTTCCATAAAAACTCAATCCCTTGGGTTGTACACAATCCATTTAATAAATCCAGCTTCAGTGTTTAGTTTAGTTAATTTCTCCGAATTAGGAGAGAACCTCAAAGTCATCAATATCACAAATATTGATGACTTTGAGGTGAAAAGTAATATGATTTAAAAAGCAAGCAATTAAAAAAGTCTATACCAGTAAGGTCACAACCTAAAATACCATCTTATATTATGTGTTATTTACCATATACACTGTTCAGTCAGGCAATTAAGTTTATCATCAAAAAACATTAGCATGTTCTTAGAACAGATGGCATTGGTTAGGCTACAACATCTTCAAGGAGCCTCCGCTGTTCCTCAAATATGGCCCTGGAGTGCCACTGCCCTGCAGAGTTTAGCTCCTCGAACCCTATAGGCTTTATGCCGTGCGTCACGTGACCAAACCGAAAAACGGGTCTTATCGCATCCGCTTGTCAGAGAAAGTGTTAACGGCCGTAAGAACTGACTACGATATCTATGGATATTTAAGGTAATCAGCTAACCGAACTAGTTCACTTTGTTATTGGCGTTTTATTCCATTTAAATATCTAAACGTTACTGTGAAGAATAAAAAATATAAAACGTTTAAATATTAATCTGCACATATGTGAGGGATATTGTTTATGCTAATCTTTGCTCGCTCCTTTTAAGTTATCTTGAGTAAAACCGCAAAAAATTTCATGAAAAACATACAAAAGATCTGGACCGGAAGCGATTCGACCTGTTTTACAGAGAATGCGGAAGTAAGTTGTGCATAAAGCCTATTGCACTATCGCAAACGCGCGTGCACAATTAGAGTTTTTCCTCGAGAGATATCATGGCTTGCAAAGGAGTGAAGCATGGCAGTTGATTAGTGTTCGGATATGCAAATAAACACAAAAGTATTTTTTAGTTCCTTCATCTGAGCCTCTGAAGAAACAATGGGTTAATTTTATTTTCTCTGGAAATGCGCCGACACAACTTCCCAAAGTTTTGTTTGGTCCAAACATTTCACCGACGACAGTTTCCTCAACTTGGGCCAATACAGAGCTGGCTTTGACGAACGCCTGAAAATAAATCGATCGAGCTAGCTACCCAGCAACAATTTCTAATGTGTAGCCTAATAATTGTTCAAGTCCAGATAGGTAATTTTTATCTCAAATTCGTTCAAAACTGTTTATGCAGCAGTAAGTCAGGCCCCTGACTAAAATATCAACTTCACATCGTTTATTTTAGTAGGATGAAAATAATCTTATTTAAAGTGTGAACAAATTATACAGAAAGCGATCAGATCTTTCCACACAGCGCGAGTTTATTGGACAACTCGTTATGAAATCAATGACTCACATTACACTGCACAACGAAGCTCTTACTGTATATCATTAGAGCATTTGTGAAAGCATTAGAGAGAGTGCAGAAACACGATCAACAGACTGTTATCTGCTTGCTCAATGCTCATCATCACGCAACATTTTATGTGATGGGAATAGATCTAAATACTTTAAAAACTTCTAATGATTTGTTAATCTCAATAGATGTAATGGTAAAAACGTATAATAGCTGTACTGTAGTAAAAGTATTCAAGAGAGTTTCACATGTGATATGTTGCTATTTCATATGCAAGCATGTCAGCCAATCACAGCAGTGGCCGGTTAGACTGAATCCACAGCAGACACGCCCCTTCAAACAGAGCAAATGGAAAAATTTATTTCTAAATTATGACAATTTTGATCTAAAAAATATACTAACATTATTAGGGCAATCCAGGAAACATTATAATATAATAAAATAAACCCATGACAGGGGACTTTAATGAATTTCATGCCAGTTTATTGAGTAAATTCCTTATATTGGTTGTATGTGAATATTTAGGGTGATTGAAAGATAATTGTCCTTCTAATCTTGTTTATTGCTACGTAAATAAAGTAATGAGTATATTCAAGTAAATCTAAAATATGTAAAGGTTTGCTGAGACAAGTCTTGTGGCCTAAGTTACAGAATTGTTTAAAAATATATTTAGTATTCATGACATGATTTTAAAAAGATATCAAGCCGTATTGGTTCTACTAATCAACTGTGTGCAGTCATGCGATGTATGCAATGGACCTCTGTGTAGAGGTGTCTTGTTGCCAT